CCATTTTATAACAACCTGGTAGCTGTGCTATTCCATGTCTACCCACTCCCCTTAAAATTTTAAGCTCCATGAGAGCGTAAGTCAAATCCCTCCTGTTCACTACTGTATCTCCAGACCATAGGAAGTGCTCAACATATACTTGTATAATCACTAAAAATAATGCTACTGGCCCTGGCCGGTTTGGCTCAGTGGTTAAAGTGTTGTCCCATGAACTGAAGGGTCCTGGGTTTGATTCCAGCCAAGGGCATGTGCCTCAGTTGCAGGCTAGATCCCTGGCCCTGGTTGGGGGGCATGAGGGAGGCTACCTATCGATGTGTCTCTCACATCGATGTTTCTCTCTCTCCCTCCTCCTCCTTTTTCCTCCCTTCCTCCCTTCCACTTTCTCTGAAAAGCAATGGAAAAAATATCAAGTAAGAATTTAAAAAATAAAATAAAAATTAAAATAATGCTACCTAATGTACTTAAGGAGTAAAATTAAAAAGCCTAACAATGCTTTGAAATATCCATAACTGGGAATTCATAAAATTTAAATACAGATAAATGTCAACAATGGAAAATCCTAGTGATTTCATCTTTTAGTTTTCAAGTTTGGAGTAATCTTTATAATTCAATAAAAAGAAGCACTTGGACTTTGGAAAACACAGATTTAACTGATAAAAACAAATTCACCTTCAAGGCTGCATTGGAATCCAGTGCTCACACGATATACTTGCCACACCTCAATTTCTTGAACTCCTTTCCTTAAGGAAAAAGGTCAGCTCCAGGCCTGTACTGTGGCTATTCCTTCCTTTCACGTGGCTGTGTTATTACATATTTCTACCAAGGAGGCGAGTAAAGCGGTCGTTTCTGAAAAATTGATTACTGCGCCCAGTGATGACTAATATGCAAGGGATATGATTTATATGAAGTAAAACCAGATTTTAATTGGTAAAAAATAACTAATCTCCTGAAGACTGTTTATTGGGTTATAGCCTGCCATGTAGCTATTAGTATTCAGACCTCAAATGTTTATAGAAAGGTAGGTTTCTGTTAGCCGTACAAACAAAACAGAACCAAAAAAACTAATTTCAACTGTGTTATTAGCAAAAAAAAAATCCCACGAAAAAACTAAAATACACACACACAAAAACGTTATACAACAAAAATTACAGTATTTCCACAAAATGGTGAATAGTTTTAAATTTGAAACATAGAAGCATAGTGATTAGGAGTCCAGAGTTTAAAAAATAACTTCTTTAAAAAATATATTTTTATTGATTTCAGAGAGAGGAAGGGAGAGGGAGAGAGACAGAAACATCAATGATGAGAGAGTGTCACTGATCGGCTGCTTCCTGCATGCCCCCCAGTAGGGATCGAGCCCACAAACCCGGGCATGTGCCTTGATTGGGAATCGAACCGTGATCTCCTGGTTCATAGGTCAACACTCCACCACTGAGCCACCCCAGCTGGCTGATACCTATTTCAACACTACAAAGGGCACAGACTTTGAGTCAAACAGACCTGGCATTAAATCCAGGGTCTACCAATTACTAGCTGTGTACCCCTGGGCAAGTGATTGAACTTCTCTGAGCCTGTCTTCTATTTGCAAAATGAGGACAGTAATCACTGCTTCTCAGGATGACAGTATGGATAAAATGAGATAGGTATCTAAAGAACTGACACACACAAAGCAGTTCATTGAGCAGGTGTCATTATTACTGTACCAGCTTATTAAGGCAGGACTCTTTCTGACTCATTTCCAATGAAGCTCACAAAGGATATAATAGATATCAAGTATTCCCGTGTTAAAAAGAGACACTAAACTCTCTATGCTAACCTTGTAAAGAAACTAACAAAAAACTGATTTGTGACCTGTTAGATCAATATTCCCCTCCAGGATTTTAAGGGTAGAGGTCCAGAAAATCTCTGGATAAAGTTGTTGGAGTGCTGTGGGGTTTCTAACACCCTCCATGGGAGAAGGGAGGAGGTGCTTTCCTGTTATCCCAAACCAAGAAAAAGGGGGTTTTAAGAGGGGCCCCTGGAGAGTGTAACCTGCCTCCCCTGGAAATTGTGGGGTACAAAGACTAATGTCTGACCCATACCTGCTAAGATTCCCCCATCGAGAAGCAAGAAGCAGCAGCCTGCTTTGGAAGCAAGGGGTACTTCCTGCAATAGTGAAAGAAGCCTCCTCCCCACTGCTGGCTTCCCAATCAGGCCATAGCTGGAAAAGGGAAGATTTCTTCCTTTTAATCAAGTTCAATGGGTACATTTTAAGTACTGTAATGAGACTCGTCTTATAATCTAAAGTGAGAAAAAGTTACAGAATATTTACTGTGTCTTATAAGACAGATGCCTGTATATGTGTGACATGATACTTACAGGATATACCATCCAGAAACAAACAAACAAAAATTAGACAGAATGAGAACAAAGGGAAATGGGAGAAAAAAATTAAGTAGTTGTTTCCTTTCCAAACCACGATGATCAGCCCTTTCAATAATTGTTACAGGACATGTTCAACAGTTGCTCAAGAGTACAGAAGAATGAGAAATACCTTTACACAGATTATAAAATTTACGCAATGTAGATATTAGTACAAATAGTAAGCTGTATGAATAATGTATAGAAAATTATTAAACTATGTCACTTCTAACAGAATACCATTTCTGAAGACATGTCAGAAAAGCTTCTGTCTTTTGATCCCTTTTCCTTTATCTTCAATGAGGAACAGCAGCTAAGCGGTGCCTCCGTGAAGACTCTACCCACTTTTCCCAAAAGAATGGAACAGGAGAAGGAAGTGACATTGCTGAAGACAGGAACAGAGGAAAAAAGGGGGGATGATCATGTGCCAGAAGATAATTTATTCAGGGAGAGCAATTTCAAGTGCAAGGTCCAGTATTAAGCACTAAAACAGTACTAAAGGGACAAAGTAGGATTTCTGACCTTATAGGAATTTGAATTAGACATATAGCAACAGTGAGAGATAAACATACAGTCTTTTCAAAGTGGGAAAGGAGTGGGAGAAAAAATACAAAATTAAAAACACTCCAAGTCTCAGTAAAGGATGTTGTAAAAGCTGCAGTAAAGTCAGGTAAAACAAATGCATGACTCTTTAAAAACTCAGGGCTTAGTCTATTAGTTATAATAAAATATTCTGTAGATTCTGAAGCCTTCCTACATTGGTTCTGGAAGCCTATTCCATTTAAGATCAGTATTTCTTCTGGGAAAATAATTACTTATTACTTTCAACTATGGAAACATTAGAATGCACACTCTAGCATAACAAACAAGAAATTAACTGTGATGTGTAATAACTCCAGCTCGACAGTCATTTATAGCAGATTGATTTTTCACGGTAATTTTTACAATTCAAGAAATATTTTGCATGGGAGGCAAGAATAACTAACATGAAAAAACAAAGCTATTTGTTTCCCACTGTTAAATTAAAGAAGATAGATTTAAATTAAAGGTAGAGTTCTCAAAAGTAGTGGCTCTGCTGTTCTATAATCAACAATCCTTCAAAATAAAATACAGCTAGTCTAAACCAATGGGATAGATAAAAAGGCATCTTTCACTTAACTGTTTCATTTTTACAATTACTGTCTACTTTATTATTTTTTTAATCCTCACCCGAGGACATGCTTAGAGAGAGGAAGGGAGAAAGACAGAGAGAGAGAAGCATCAATCAATTGCCTTTCATACCCTCCCCAACTGGGGATCAAACCACCAATCCAGGTATGTGCCCTGACCAAGAACTGAATCAGCAACCTTTCGGTGCAGGGGACAACGCTCAGCCAACTCACAGAACCTGATTCAAGCATGATTTTCCCCAGGGCAAGAAGACCACAGGTTACACAAGTCAGAGAAAAACCCAGGTGCAGCTCTAGGAGAGACAAGTATTAGATGTAATTCTTCCCTCTGAGCCACGAAGTCACCTGAATATAAAGGGAAGATTTTTCTTCCTTTCCCTTTTTTATTCTGAAGTGTGAAAAGTAAGCCCCAAGCACTTATATCTAAGGACAAGGAATGATGAGACTCCCAAGGAGAGAACATAAGAAATGACAATAAAGTACAGAAGGCAACTTTTAAATCAGTGTGCCAGAACTAATACTATACATAGAAATGGACATCATCCCCATCAAACTCATTACCTTGGAAATTATATACTTAATCCAATGATGCTGTTATAAGCACTTTGGAATTTGTTTCGGAGATTAAAATTTTCCACATCCTTAAAACTAGCAAATAGTTATCTTTTTAGGTTGGATTAAGCATTAGTCAAAAGTCCTGAGAAGAGCTATGGCTGGCGTGGCTCAGCTGGTTGGAGTGTTGTCTCGCACACCAAAGGGTGGTTGGTTCAATTCCCAGTCAGGGCACATGCCCAGGTTGTGGTTAGATCCCAAGTGAGGGTGCATGCGGGAGGCGGCCGCGATGTTTCTCTTTCTCCTTCCCTTCACTCTCTCTAAGATCAATAGAAAAAAAAATCCTCAGAATAGCTGTGCTTTTGTCTAGAAAGCCTTACTTGACCTCCCAAGTCCAGGTTCCATGCCTCTTCCTCGTGAATCACTATTTCCCCCAGGAAAGTGCATTTCACTCTATACTGGAATTCTTTATCATTTATCATTTGTCATCCAGGTAAAACTGTGAACTTCATAGCAGCAGGAAATTTACCTTATTTATTATACCCACAGTCCTAGCATAGTACCTAGAAATTATAGGCACCCAAGAAATACTGAATGATGCCGTCTACTAGAACACAAAGTAGCTTGGCATATGGTGTGTGCCTTCTCTGTTTACCTTCTCATCCTTTCAGGAAGAGCGCCATGCCTCTGCATGATTTGTGTGAATATACATCTGTATAGAGGGACTATTACTTTATACATACTTGCAAGGAGAAGTGGTTGGATGAATGATTTTCATTATTTATGTATAGAAAAGAAGCAAAAATCATGATTACTTCCTCAGACTAAAAACTTAGAGAACTTTTCATTCTGAAGTCTGTAAGCACAGTAATCTCTCACCTAGTTGCAGGATCTTTATAGTGTCTCTGCAGGCTTCCACCACCAGCTTGAAATGGCGGTAAAGTGGGTAGCACAAAACTCTTCTTCCAAAAGACACGAGGACTTCACGAACATTAGTCCAAGTCTGCAAGGTGTCAGTGAAGTAAGTAACCACTTCTATATTATACAAACTAAAGCACATAATGAAATACTGTCCATTAAGAATTAAAAGTCTGGACCACTGCAAAACCAAGTAGAAGAGAAATATAAAACCACAAACTGAGACTTTCTGTACACCTTACAATAAATTATTTAATCTTATTAGTCTTTCTAATTTCTTATATTTTATCAACAAATCAGAAATGCTCTTTAAAAATCACATATGTAGTAGAAAAGTTTTTAAAAGTCTCTTAAGAATTACAAACATGAATCTAAAACACATGGCACTAACCAAATGCATATGCACATAAAAGACATTTCTCAATAACCTATGTTTCAAGCTTTTGTCTTTTAGGACCATTCAAGAGAATGTAGATGAAAGGTGCAGAACTTTTCAGTGACCTGTGTTCAGTCTCTTTCTCTCTCTTTTTAACTTTGGGCATGAGTAATACATGGTATTTACTTCAGTAATTTATTTTTACTCATCAAAGAGAAAACTAGCAATTTCTGAAAAAAAGTGTTTTATTGTGAATAGTATTAAACTGAACTGATATCATTAGCAATTTAAAACTTACTGAAATCACTAGACAAAGGTAATGTTCTACAAAACTGTTTTTAAATTGAATTTTGATAAAAAATGTTACCCATATTTAAAACTTAAAATATAAAGTTAAAACTAAGGGAGCGGCATAATTTCCATGTACATTAATCCTTAATAAATGAGAAATCTGATTAAGCATATTGAGTATCTGATAAATAATAGTTTATATCTAATAAGAGTTACAAACTTTTTAAAAATTCTAGCAAAAAAATGAAATACTTATAAAAGTTTGATAGTTATTAACATGTCTGGAAATTCTAAGTTTTCTCAAAAACAATAAAACTTTCAAATTAAAATCATAAATAGGTGAAGTTATTCATGTAGATTTTAATAACTGAACTATAAAATTAATCACCAACTCTAATGCAACTGCTACAAAAACCAGTTTCTCCATTATATGCCGATCATGGCAATATGTAGAACCTAAATGAAGTCTAGAGAACAGCACTTCTCTATCTTTAATATACACATAAATCCCTAAAGATCTAGTTGCAGACTCTTGACTCAATGTGTATGGACTGATATTCTGTCCTGCTAACAAGCTCCCTGCTAAGGATGCTGGTCAAGCTTTTGGTCCATGGACCCATTCTTGGAGTAGCAAGACTCTCTGATAAAGTTAAATGTTTCAGTTCCTGTTTACATCTTACTTTTTACTTCAACCAAATGATGCCACGAAACAACTTTGATTTTACAACTTAAAATGCACTATATGTAGGATTTTAACTGGGGGAAAAAATCTGTTTGTCTTAATTGATGATACAATTATCAAATATTTAAATTGACACTTTTTAAAGCTTCTCTTTTTTTTTTTTACTCTATCTTGATTGATTTCAGAGAGAGGGAGGGAGAGGGAGAGATCTAGAAACATCAGTGATGAGCCATTGGTTGGCTGCCTCTTGTACGCCCCCTACAGGGGATAGAGCCTGCAACCTAGGCATGTGCCCTGACCAGGAATCAAACCACGATCTCCTGGATCATAGGTCAATGCTCAACTGCTGAGTCACGTTGGCCAGGCTAAAGCTCCTATTTTTAATTACTGTTTTTGATGTACAATAGTTTGTCCAAAACAGGTAAATTTAAAGATACCACCCTTTGATATTTTTGGTAAGACCTACACAACTATTTCCTAGAAAATATACGTAAAAACAATTATTACTATATTAAAAGATTTATCATCAGATCTAACCATACTAATTATAGGACCTAAGCAAAGTTATTTAAACTGTATGACCTAAGTCTTCTGGTCTCTAAAACATTAATAATAGTTTTCACAGACTTACTGAAAGGAATCAGTGAGTTAATACATGTAAAATGCTTATCACAGTCCCTGGTGGTCAATGGCACCTGGGTTTGAGTCCCACTTTGAACTCTGAGCCCAGTATATGCCAACTCACAAACATTCCTCAAACTCCATCCCACGGTCTCTCCCAACAGACCACATACCTATTCTTTCTCCAAAGTGTGTTCTCCCTCTCCTGATTTCCAAAATACCCCATCTATAATTAGAATAAGCCTAATATATGGAATCAGAATTTTATTAAAAAGATGGAAAATAAACATGTACAATAAAGCTTCCACTTTTAAAAAGTCAAGGAATTGCTTGAATTACTCAAAATGAACTAATGACAACGAAAAAATAACTTTCTGGACAAATAAATTTAAATAATTGTGATTAAAAATCGTACCTCAAACCAGCACAGTGTTGGACTCAGTTTTCTGATATTCCATGCAGATTCAACCTTTATTTGTTTTAGAGAAAAGAGTACTGTCACATTAGCGGTAAAGTCATATAAAAATAAAGCAAATATACCCATTTATTCAACTAGTATGTGTCAACAATACTCAGTGTTGACATATAGAAGAACTAAGAAGAGTCTAAGATTGAAAACAAAACAAAACTGCTTTACTCAATGCAGACATTATTAAAAGCAAGTTTCTGTCTACTTTCCTTGGGATTTTATAAAGTAAAGCTTTCCCACTAATAAGAGCCCCAGGACACAAGAGCAAATAAGCAGGGACTTTGAAGGTGAAATTTAAGCAAAGCGATGTGGGCTCAATTTCTGTCCTCAACTAAGTTACTTGCCTCCCAAACATTCTACAAAAAATCTGCCAAGGGACACAAAGATAATAGTAATGTGCTGCCTGTGGCACAAGAGCTGCTAAAGAATTTGGCCTTTCAAAGAATGCTTATGAGAATAAGTCTATTCTAAAGAAGGTTTTGAAGCTTCAAGACTTCATGATTTTGAATATGCAAATATAAGAATAAAGACTAAATTTTACTGAGTAAAACTAAACATTCACTTATCTCCTCAAGCAATAATATGAAGCACTTTTTTGCCAAATAAAACATTTTTTCCAACTGTAGCATCTTTAAAAAATAAATGGAAACAAAAAACATTTTCAGTTACATTAAGCCCTTGATACACTCATTAACATTCACTTTGGAGTAAAATGCAAATCTCAAGAGTTACTGTTGAAATTTTAAGAATCATGACAACAAAAAATCTGGCACATATAAAATTCTAACCCTAAAACTATGCTAATGCTATGATGTTAAGTGAGAACGGCAGATTAAATAATACATGCATTACGACCCAAAATAAATACACATACATACATACATGTGCACAATGAAAGAGTGAGAGAGAGGCAACACTTTATAACAGTGGCTTTTTCTGTGGCTGAGATTACGGGAAATTTTAATGATTTTCTTCATGTGTTTATTTCCCTTTAAAATGTATTTGTGTATTTCAATAAATAAAAATAAAAGCATATGCTTTTTATCACTGTTCTAGCTCAGAAAAGCCCGCTGAGGGAGGACAGCTATAAACAGCTGCAGGGCACATTAACCAGAAGGACTTTTTTTGGTTTTCCAGACTTTTTTTACATGTAGGTGAGAAAAAAGTTTAGCTCTTCATTTACAAAATCAAATGTGGTTTAAAGAAGAGATACAATAAAGTCTATGTTTTTAAAAAAGAATATAACTTAAGAATACTAATGTACTTTACAAAAGGATTTACTTTTATAATAGGATTTCTTTAAAAGATTCCTATCCCCAGTATCTGCTGACAGCTCGGAAAAAGAATATAAATGGTTTGGTAAAGTTTACCCCTTACCAATGTCAAGTGTCATGTGGCAACAGCCCTCTCATTTGGCCAATTTACCTCCTAAAGACCCTTTTTCTCTATCCTCAGTTTTACTTCCCCACTTTGCTATTTGTAAAGACTGATGCCAAGGGAGGAGAGAAAGAAACCAAGCAAGCATCATGCTTTCATGTTGATATCCATCACCAACAGACATGTGCAACTCTGCCCCACATGCGCCCTAAGTAAGTGATCACAAGAGGTCTTACTCTCAACAAGAGGAGCGCAGCTGACAGTCTACTCAGGGCAGTGTCTGGGCCACAAGCAGACACACGCACTTACGTTCTTGTCTCCTTCACTGACACGAGTTTCATAGCAATACGCCAGAAGGATATCAATCAGGCTGTAGTACACTTCACTGCGGGCTCTCTTGTCCAGCAGGTAAGATTTATGGACAAATTTTCGCAGCTGATATTTCTCTTCTTCAGAAAAAGATACTAGAAGAAAACGTATTTAAAAATTAGATGTTCTGTCCAGTTTTGTAGAACCCCCAAATGTACAAGATTTGTCAAAATTAGAACTTTGATTATAAAAACTGAAATAAAGTTATTTAACTCTAGCGATATAAATAACTTTTAAACTAGAATTCACAGTTTTATTAAGGGTTTTGCACTTTCTCAAACTCTAGTAGGGCTAAATGAGAAATGTCTAAACAATATCTATTCCTTATTTCCAGACGCCTCCCCCCACACACCTTTTTTGTTACACTGTTCTGTATTCAAGGCATCTAAATGTCAGAGTTATTGACTTTCAAGTTAAGATAATATATTTTTACAACAGAAAACATTTAATAGCTACATAAAGCACTCTGTAAATATTCACTCTCCATTTTTAAAGTTCTATATAAAAAAAGTAGGAATATTCTCATATATAAGTCCATTTAAGTGCATAGTAGCAATATTCTGCAGACATGGAAACAAAGTTATACATAAATACACAAATATGACCTTATCACACATGAGGCTTATGGAAAGAGGATGTTTCTCTTCAACACAGTCATCTCCCTTTTCTTCTGCTTGGCACCCTCTTTTCATCTTCATCAACAGCCTCCCCCAAGTTAAATATTTAGTATATATGCTTCATATTTTCTTGACAACCATGTAATCACATACAGACACACAAACATACATATATACATGGGAGCTTATATCCCCCACACAAATAATTAGATTATGTTCCCCGATCTCTTCAAGTCAACTGGCAGGTTGGTTAATTTTTGTAAAGGACTAGAACATTCATGGTGTAGCATGTTCTGTCCAACCACTCCCCCTACTGATGAGTATTACATTTCATCTTTTTATAATCATTTCCAGTCTGATGAATATACAGTGACTGTGGTAGGAGGAATCCTAAGATGACTGCCAATGAGTCACATGTGAGTGTGGAAAGAACCTGTGACTTCTATCCAAAAGAATACCACAAAGGTGGTAAAACAGTCACTGTCATGATTATATTGTTATTAGCAGACTGGAGCCAGAGACTAGATGCCAGTTTAGAAGAAATAAGATGCCGTGTGTGAGAGGGCAACTTGAGAGGGCAAGGTGGGGGGTCTAAGATCTCAGAGCAGTCCCCGCTGACAAACCAGCAGGACCAGAGGGGTCTTGGTCCTACAGCCTCAGAAATGAAATTCTGCCAAACATTTGAATTCAGAAGAAGACACAGAGAACATAGCTGCCAACACGTACTAAAAATAAGAAAAAGAAAGAAAGAAAAGATGGCATATTTGTCAATAGCTTTGCAAGACCCTGAGCAGAGGTCCCAACTAAGCGATACCTGACTCCTGACCCACAAAAAATAAATCATATTAGGACTGTTTCTAATTTGAGGTAATTTGTTATGCAGCAAGAGAAAACTAATAGTGACATATTGTTACTTCAGTTACTATTTCTCTAACTGCTGAACTTTGAGCATTATTTCATAAGTTTGCTGGCAATTTGGCTTTGGCTTTGCTCTCCTGCTAAACATTTGTGTTTTGTCCCAACTTTTTGATTGGATGGCTTGTCTGTCAAATTAAGAACTCTTTGTCTATTATAGATGTGAACCCTAATCATCTCTCCGAATCTACAGCATATCTATTGACTTTATGTATGGTATCCTGTGCCACTGAATTATTTGTTTTTTGTGTGGCCTAATACGTCCATCATTTAAAACAACAACAGCAACACACCAAGAGTCTGGATTTATAGCTTTCAATAAAGTTGCCCCAAGCCCTGAAGTATATAAGAAATCTCCTTTTCTTTAAGATTTACTGTTTCCTTTCTTAAATTTAAGTCTTTAATCCATCTGGAAGTTATTTTTTCATATGCTTTAATATTTCAGTTACTTCCAGATGAACAGTTAATTGTGCAAGCAGTTTGTTCAGTAATCCAATTTTTCCCATTGAAAACACCAACTTTATGAAATAGATCTGTTGCTTTTCTTGCTAAAAATTACTTCAAAACATTTTTTCAGTTTTTGTAACTTGCAAATACAATATTTTCTCTATTTCTATTATTAAATACAATTGGTAGAAAAGAGAAAAGCTATTTCTTTTTACATATCAGGAACCTTGCCAAATGTTGGGTACACAGACCAAAAGAAACCCTCACCAAACTAAAATACTTAATAAATGCTAATGATTTTTAAAAAACCATGTTATATCTACATTGGTAAGGCAAGAAAAGTATGAGACTGTAGTTCCTTCTAAGTTTCCTTTGATGTGTACAATTTAGGCAAGCTATCACAAAGCATATATCTTCTAACATGAACAAAACATGAGCATTAATGGTTCCTCATTACTATACATACAAAGTAAAATATACTTTGTCTTAGAGCAAGATTTACAGAAAGAATAACAGCTAATGACATGTGTGCTGTTCCTAGCTGACGTAAGTAAAACATGCCCTACTAATTGTCTTAGATTTTTTAAGAAACTTAAGCGTTTAGATACATTATGTTGCCTCTAAATAAAAGTACTGTCAATCTCCTACCTTGAAAAGTAATCCTTAATTTTCCTTCCAAGCCCTATCAGACAATCACTTTGAAATTCACTTGTTTTTAAACCCAGCCAAGAGGAGCATTCAGCTTCCAGTTGCAGTGCTTCAAATCAAAGTAATGCCAGAATAACTTCCAAGCCTTTTTCTCCAGGTTTTAGACTTGTCCATTACTTAATACAGGACAGGATAAAAGAAGAGATGTTTCCTTCTCATGCTGATATCCTAAATGAAAGATCCAGGACTTGTGGGGCATCGCATCTCCATAACTCAACTTCCAGCTATGGGTCCAAGACAGCTAACTCCAGGTTTTTACCATCTCCTAACCAATGGGAAAGCAGAACAANCTTGTGGGGCATCGCATCTCCATAACTCAACTTCCAGCTATGGGTCCAAGACAGCTAACTCCAGGTTTTTACCATCTTCTAACCAATGGGAAAGCAGAACAACAAGAGGACGGCCAGCACCTTCTTTCTAAACACTTGATCCAGAAAGTGNCCTAACCAATGGGAAAGCAGAACAAGAGGACGGCCAGCACCTTCTTTCTAAACACTTGATCCAGAAAGTGTACATAGTACTTCCCATCATCCAGAACTTAATCACATGACCACACCAGTGGCAAGGAAGGCGGTGCAATCACTAGCTGAGCCTTCAAGTGCCCTGCAATAACTCAGGGAGCTCTTGGGGAGACACCTGGCTATCTCTATCACCTTTGTAGAAACCAAAATTTATTAAACTGTCTTTTTTTAAAAAATTCATTTTAGAGAGGAAGGGGGAGAGAAAGAGAAAAACATCAACTTGCTGCTCCAATTACTTCTGCACACATCGCTGACTCTCACCAAGGATATGCTTTCTGTCGGTTTTCAGAGAGCAGAAGGGGGAGAGAGAGAGCAAGAGAAACATCGATGTGAGAGGGACACATCAATTGGCTGCCCCTGCACGTGCCCCAACCAGGGCCAGGATTAAGCCTGCAAATGAGGTACATGCCCTTGGCCAGAATCAAACCCGGGGCCCTTCAGTCCGAGGGCCGATGCTCTAACCACTGAGCCAAACCAGCCAGGGCTATTAATTAGTTTTTGTACATGCCCTGACCCGGAATCAAACCCACAACCTTGGTGTATCTGGATGACCCTCTAACCAACTGAGCTTTTTGGCCAGGGCCTAAACTCTGTTTTTAATATTTCCAAACCACTCTTCTGATAGCTAGCTACCCAGCCCCTTTCTGTCTCTGCTCAATGAAAGACAGCCCTTCTGCTCATCACAACTGGGCAAAGCCAGAGGAAGAGAAGGTGATTACTCACACCTGATGGCCCCTGTTCACATATAGTTTTCCAAACTCACTTCTGTCCTCTCTTAGCAACCTTAACACTGCTTGTTTTTGTTTTAAGGCTTCCTTCCAGCAAGTTTGCAGCCTCTCCTCTGGGGGAAAAAATCTTAAATATACTTATTAGAAATTACTAAAAGCAATAACTCTTTTGCTTGTTAAAATTCACACAGTGTGAAAATAAGGTTTTGAAACATACTTTTATAATTATTTTTTTCAATGATGTTAGAAATCCTATGTTTAAAAAAGAAAAAGAAATGTATTTGCACAAGCATTGCTTTCATAAATAACAAATAACTGAGAATGCATTTATTTAATTTGCTGGCCAGAAATATAAAAAAATGTGCATATTTTTAAACTTTACGCTGACAGGTGTCAGGTGAAGCATTCTTCAAGACACATTTAAAAACAAAATAAGGTTATGAAGATCTCTTAATTTAAACAGAAGCTCAGCTCACTTAAACTATCAGATTTAAGGAAACTGTAAGGAGAAACATACTGCATGAAGAAAGTACACCTGACAAAGTATTTTAAGAACCCCAATATTCAGCAAGAAGGTCTGAGACAGTTATTCCCTTAGGTAAAAAAATTTTTTTTAAATATATCTTTATGGATTTCAGAGAGAGGAAGGGAGAGGGGGAGAGAGAGGTAGAAACATCAATGATGAGAGGGTCATTGACTGTCTGCCTCCTGCACGCCCCTGAATGGGGATCCAGCCCGCAACCCGGGCAATATACCCTGACCAGGAATCAAATCATGATCTCCTGATTCATAGGTTGAAATTCAACCGCTGAGCCATGCCCAGCAGGTACCTTAGGTATAATTTTTTTTTAATTTTTCAGAGAGAGAAAGGGAGAGGGAAAGGGAGACAGACAGAAACATCAACTTTGAGAGAGTCATTGATCAGCAGCCGCCTACACGCCCCTGACTGGGGATTGAGCCCGCAACCCGGGCATGTGCCCTGACCAGGAACTGAACCTCTATCTCCTGGATCCTAGGTCGACGTTCAACCGCTGAGCCACGCCGGTCGGGCCTTAGGTATAAGTTTTGTAATGTTCATTAATTTAGCTAATAATAGGAAAATGCCAGGTGTTCCCGATGGCAGTATCTCAGTGGGGAAAGCCTTTCTATCTTAGTTGACCAATAATGACTTCTTCTTCCACATGGTTCTGAATCACAAAGTAATGTGCCCAGAACCATTAAATAACACATCAACTCATCTACATGTTATTAAATAATCACACCTGTATATGTTTAATGAATTGTAAAGGTTGACCTGGGAACTGTAGGATTTGATGTTACATTACCACAAGTGTTTCCCATGTCACAGGTCACTTTCCATGGCTCTATACATAAGAAAAGTCCCCTTGAATGCACTCCTCTCAATTCTTGGATGCTAGGTAGCCCTACCCTTTCCTTAAAACACCACCACCTTTTCTGAGTGTTTTCAAGTTCCATTTTGGCCTAAGGGCTTCATTAATAATACACAGACACATTTAAATTCTGAAATTCAAGCAAAGAAACAGGAGATGATAAATAATAACAACAACAAACCAGGAAATCACTACAGAAATCAAAAGTCTGAGCAACCCAAGGCCTATGTTATTAGAACTGTAAATCATATCAACCAAAGGGAACAAGAGGAGGTTTGCACAATCAGGTATAACTGAGCAGCAGCACGGAAAATAACTACAGATGCAGTGCCAACAATATTTGGATGATTGCAGCAATGAGTAACATTTGTCAAGCATTTGTATGACTTAGCTACACTACAAAGCAGCTTTGCATATAGTTCAGGACATTTCGATTAATTATACTTCTATAAATAATCTACAGGCGTATAAAAGCAAGCTGAAAACTCCATTCATTTAGGGTAGAAACTGGTGTCCTGGCATTGAAGCAAATGGCCCAAAACCACCTTCCAACATTAAAAACCCCACCCACATTTTTGATGATTGCAAAGAGGCTCCTCTCAAAATGGAAAGTGGCCTTCTTACTTCATGTAAAATATTTTCTAGTTTAGTTACTTCTACATCCCGCTCCCAAATATCCTTGTCTTCTGTGGGCCAACAACTAAATCATCCATGATCTGGCTCCTCTCAGAGGAGTGCAAATCTATTAAATTGTACATTTTCTGGAAACATCAAGGGAACCAGAAGAAAATGTGATGCATTCGAAGCCCCAGTCTAAATGGCTAGCCTGCAGTGGTTACAACTTTCCAGTTGACTGACAGCTCTACAGACATTCACAGGATGTCCCTGTTAGGAAGTTCATTGACTCTAAATGCTATGTGGTGTCATAATGAGCAGCCATGTGCAAAAATTCTTGGGCTGAAGTTAACCACTGAAAGACAACATGGGAAATGTGAAAAATCCATCCTCATGAAACCGGAGGTTAGTGGGAGCATAGCATTTAACACTTCCAGTTACAAGCCTTTGGGGAGGAAGATCAGAATCACGACAAAACTGAAGATATTAATAAAAGTCTCCACATTGTAACTAAGGGCTGTGATGAAAATGATGAGACTGATAACAGAGGCAAAAGGCTTATCTGGAATTCAAAACAACTGTAGCTTAATATTTTATGAGGATGAGTCAAAGGTCCCCTCACAGGTACACTAGGTACATCTGCCTGGCAACATCTGATGAGGGAGCACAGAAGAGGAAGGAGGCTGGGGATGGAGAGAAAAGAGGAAGAGGAGGGAAAACCAGAGCAGCAGCAGGCCCTTGAGAACCTGAAAGTTTATTTCTTGGTTTATTTATTTTCTCCCATATTTTATTCTGGTTTAGCACACTTCAATTTATTCCTCCGATTCAGGGGGGGCTCAAATACTTGAACAAAGAAAAAATCTCATTAACAAAGAACTCCCTCTTAAAGCTTTGTGAATGTACAAAAACTGCAATTTCACAGAGAAGCCATTCAATTCCTGGCTCTCCTGCCATTGAATTTACTCTATAATAATTTCTAACAATTACAATATGCTAAGGATTTTAAATACATCATCTTATTCAACACTGAAGACAACTCTGTGAGGAAGGTAGAGGATTTCCACAGCAAGACCGCACAGCTAGCCTGTGGTGGACCAAGGTGTTAAACCTCAAGCCCTATATTTAGTTTACAGTATATCCTTAATCCTGTATTTGGCATATTTAGAAGAGGCGTTTTCTATACAACACAGAACTCAAGTTCTTCTTAGATCACAAGCCCTTGCTATTTTTAAAGGTGACTTTTAGAATGAATCACCACACTAGCTTAGCAGATTATGATTATTCTTGAAGCACCAGAGTGGATATGTGCCCTGGGTCAGATGAAGATGAAGAAGGGTCAGGAGGGCAGTGGTTAAATAAAGAGCCTGGATTAATCTGTTAAAATTACACATAGAAAACTAACTCATAGCACAGCTGACACAGAAAAGAGGACCTAGAACAAGCCACCACTGATCAAAGTAGAGCAAATTAGAATTTAAATCAAAGGTATTAATGCCTTCTCTTGTTTTGAGGGGCAACTAGCTCACCCTTGTGGGCAGAAAACGAAACTGCGCAACCACCACCTCATTAAAACACTACTAAAACTGGGGAAGCTGATTTAGACTAGTAGATAGCCTCGATGATCTAAGTTTGGACAAACTTTCGGAGCAGATCTACATGGCATATACAGTTACTACCTATATTGTGCTAGCAATCTTATTCCTGAAAATCTGTCTATACAATGTGGGAAGTTTCTGGAAGATTTTTAAACCCAAATCAAATATAAAACCAAGAATTTTTTCAAAACAATGTAACAAGAGTCATTATTTATAAATGAGTTTCTGTGGTGCAGTAGAGTCAATTCTAAAAGATTACAATAGCAATTTTTCAATCTGGTAGAAATCACCTAAACTCTAACAGAACCTAACTACAAAAATATTTCCTACAATATTTATTTTTTCTGTAACTATTCATTGAGTACCTATTATGTAATAGGCACTACCCTAGACACTAAATACAGAATAACAGACTATTGTATTGCTATGCAGAAAATCAAAATACTGTCATACAACAGAGACCCTACAGCAACTTCGGATTTAGTAATCAAAGGAGGCCACTCCAAAAAACTATAAACAACCCAAATTTCCATCAGTAGTAAACAGCCCAAATGTCTATCAATCATGATACAAATATACAATAGAATTCTAGGCAGACATTAAAAGTATCAGATAGAATTGTAAGTGCTAATATAAAAGATATACAACATAAACCACAAACTTGAGAAAAGCAAGGTAAGAAGAGAATTTTATGTATATCAATTTCTTAAAGCAACTATTTAGATGTGAGTATATACATTAAAAATATACCCCAAAATTATTAACAGTAATTACTTTCAAGAAGAGGAGTTTGGAGTGGGGAGATTCTCTATATTCCATTTAATGTGTGTGTGTGTGTGTGTGTGTATTCCTTTTATTTAAACACTGAAATTTTATTTTTTTATTTTTTTATATATATTTATTGATTTCAGAGAGAGGAAAGGAGAGGGAGAGAGAGAGAGAGAAACATCAACGATGAGAGGGTCATTGATCAAGCCGGCAACCCGGGCATGTGCCCTGACCGGGAATCGAGCCCCGATCGCCTGGATCCTAGGTGGACACTCAACCGCTGAGCCACGCCTGGCCGGGCGAAATTTTATTTTTAATAGATAAATAAAAGGCAAATTAGTATGACAGAAAACATGGGCCTGATCTACTCCTGATCTATCTGAAACTGTTATAATTCTAATTTATAGACCTTATATACCAACCTCCCACTTAGAGAGGGTGGTAATAAAATGACCATCTAAGAAAGGACTCTTTGTGGATAACATTGGCTTGATGTTAAATATGGCATAGCCATCTCCTATGACTCATGACCCCCCAGCTCAGCTTTCATTGGTAAAAACTGGTCCACCTGTTCTCTGTAAGGTGCAGGTATGAGGGTAACTATTCCAACTTCTACACAAAACCATTTGTAAAGAAACTGGAGAGGACACATCAAATTCATTCAACAGAAAAAAGGGAATAAAAACTGGGTCTTCTCACACCATTGCTAACACTAAAATGCCCTTCCCACAAAGGAATATTCAGATCCCTCAAGCAGATTCCTCAGCAACGACATAAAAATGTCCTATGTGCTAGTCCCCTAATTTTACTAAATAAATAAACAAATAAAAATTTTTAAAAGGACTCCAATGATTCAAAAGTAAAACATACTTCAGAAGAATTTAGAGAAATAAGTCTAATATTGAGTGGCATTTTCCAGCCCAGGTTGAAGACCCCATTTCCAAAATTACCAAACCAAAAAAGTATCTCCACTCTATGAGGCGGCAAAAAAATGAACCTATTTTTTAGTTTCTTACCTAATGCAGCATGATTTTCTTGCTCCTGACTCTTTCCCATAAAGGTCATCATTTTTGAATGTGTATCAGTCCACCAAGGATTATACTTCAAAACCTGTTCAACTGTCTCATCTTCAAAAAAGTCGGCTCTGGAAAAAACACCCAATGTCAGGTGGGCTTGTTATACAGACTTTGGCTGGTTTTCATTTGCATTAGAAATACAGATTAACTAAAATTCATTTCAAAGAGACTGAGCACTACATTTACTTTCTTTGTGGTTAGCAATCATCATAAAATGAAAAGTAAACAACTAACTAAAAGGATATTTGACATTAATGATCTCTTAAAATGGAAGGTACAGAGAAGACCAGTCTTACCCTGAAGTCCCACCCCCTGCCCTACAGTGGCATGGGATGAAGTGAAACTGAACACACAATGGACTGAAGCCTAGCAATTGTATTAGGTTTGCAAGTATCACAGAATCTGGTAAAGTTACAACAAAGGAAAGAATCTTAACTCCACCAACAAAGAAAAATAAACACATGAGTAGAAAATTTAGAATACTGAAAAAAGAAAGAGCTCTACAAGAGCTATCTGACTCCATCAGAAAAGCAATATAAGAACAATGGATATACCAAAAGGATAAGAGGAGAAGGGAACTGTGAGCCTGTTCAAACAAATCATCAATGAGAACTTCTAAAACCTATGGAAAAAACTGGATTCTCAAGTCCAAGAAGCAAACAGAACACCTAATTATCTCAATCCTTTTTAGGCTTTCCATGGAACAACATATTAAAACTGTCAAAAATTAATGACAAAAAATTCTCAAGGCAGCCAGGAAAAAGCTGGTAACCTATAAAGGAAATTCCATTACAATATTATTGTTTTTGGTTTTTTTAGTAAAAATCCTACAAGCTAGAAAAGATTGGAACCAAATATTAAATTACTGAAAAAGAAAATTTACTGGCCAAGAATAATATATCCAGCAAAGATATTCTTTAAGTCTGAAGGAGAAATAAGGACTTTTCCAGACATACAGAAGTTGAGGGAATTTACCACCAGAAGACCTGCATTACAGGAAATACTGAAGGGTATTCTACCTAAAACAAAACGACAACAGAATACAAAACTGAGTAAGATAACAGACAGACAGACAAAAGCAGGAAATAGCAACCCTTGTTCAGAACATGATAATATACACTTAAATACAGGTTAACAGAGGTTAAAACATTTTTAAAAAAGACAAGAGCTACTGCAATTTAGAAATGAACTCACAGTACAAAAAGGGATAATTCTTACAACAAAAACATAAAAAGGAAGGAGGTAAAGGTCTGAATTTGCAGAGAAAGGGAGATAAGATGCAATCAGAAGGAAAAGGACCAGTGCACGTGTGACACTAACTTTTACATAAACCTAGTTACAACCGCAGAATAAAACCTAGAACTGAGACACATAACGTAAAAAAACAACTCATAGAATAACACCAAACTAAAACAAGACAGAAACACAAGAAAACTGGAAGAATAAAGATATCAGAAAAAAAAAAAAAGATAAAATGGCTATAGAAAATGCTTACATATCAATAATCACCTTTAATGCAAAAAGACTTAACTCATCAATTAAAAGGCACAAGTAGTGGATTGGATCAAAGCCTAAAACCCAACTATATGCTGCCTTCAGGAGACACATGTCAGTTGCAAGGACAAACAGAGACTCAAAGTGAAGAGGTATAAAATGATACTCCAAGCAAATGGCATACAAAGAAAAGTGGGTATAGCCACACTTATATCTGACAAAACAGATTTCAAGATAAAAAAAGGTAAGAAGAGAAAAAGATGAACATTTTATAATGATAGAATGGGGCCAATGCATCAAGAAGACATAGCACTTGCTCACTCTCTCTCTCGCTGTCTCTCTCTCTCTATGTGTGTGTGTATGTGGGTGTGGGTGTGGGTGAGTGGCAGGGTCCAATCAAGAAGCACCAAAATATATAAAGCAACTAGTAATAAACTAATGGGAGAAACTGACAAAAACACAATTACAGTAGAGGACCTAAATATCCCATTCACAGCAATGGATAGATCATTCAAACAGAAAACTAATAAGGAAATATTGACCTTAAATAACACATTAGATCAACTGGAAATCATGGATATTTAAGAGCTTTTCATCCCAGAACATCAGATTATATACTCTTCTCTAGTGCACATGGAACACTCTCAAGGACAGACCATATGTTGGGCACAAAACTAGCCCCAGAAGATTGTAATCATACCAAGCATATTCTCCAACCACAATGCTTTCAAATAAGAAATTGAAAGAAGAAAATGAAAAAAAAACACAACGAAAAAACAGAAAAAAGTGAAGATTAAACAACATGCTATTGCCCTGGACAGTAGAGCTCAGTTGGTTGGAGCATTGGCCCATATACCCAATTCCTGGTCAGGGAACATACCTAGGTTGCAGGTTCAGTCCTCGGTTGGGGCATGTACAGAAGGCAACCAATCGATGTTCTCTCTCACATCGATGTTTCTCTCTCTTCCCCCCCCTTCTCCCTCTTTCTTTCCCTTCCCTTCTCTCTAAAATCAATAAGCATATCCTCGGGTGAGGATTAAAGAAAAAAAAACATGCTACTAAACAAGGACTGGGTCAAAGAAGAAATAAAGATCAAAAGATAGAGAAAATATAGAATAACAATACAATATAGCAAAATTTGGGGGTTACAACAAAAGCAGTAGTAAGATAGAAGTTACAGGCCTATCATTACAGGCCTTCCTCAAGAAACAACAAAAATCTCAAATAAACAATGTAACATTTCACTTTAAAGAACTATAAAAAGAACAAACAAGGCCCAAATTCAGTAGAAGGAAGGAAATAATGAGCATTAGAGAGGACTTAAATAAAATAGAAAACAAAAAGACAATTGAAAAAAATTAATGCAACAAAGAGCTGGTTCTTAAAGATTAATAAAATTTACAAACCTTTGGCTAGACTCACTAAGGAAAAAAGAGAAAAGACTCAAAAAGTATCAGAAACGAGAGGACAAGTTACCACAGACCACAGAGAAATACAAAGGACTATATGAGAACACCATGAAAGGCTATGTGCTACCAAATTCCATAACTGAGAAGAAATGGACAGGTCTGTAGAAATACATAACCTTCCTAGACTGAATCATGAAGAACTGGAAAATCTAAATAGACCAGTAAACAGTGAGAAAATTGAAACAGTCATCAAAGACCCCTCCCCCATGAAGTAAAAGTCCAGGACGAGACGGCTTCACTAGTAAATTCTACCAAACATCTGAAGAAGATTTAATACCTATACTTCTCAAACTCTTCCAAAAAATTGAAGAGGTAATATTCTGATTTTATGACGTAAAACCTGGCAAGGATAACAAACAAAAAAAACTAAAGACCAATATCTCTGATGAATACAGATGCACAAATTCTAAACAAAATAGTAGCAAATCTAATACAACACTATAGTAAGAAGATAAAGTAGGTTTATTCCAGGGGCACAGCAAGGATGGTTCAACATACGCAAATCAAGAAAATAAAAGATAAAAATTATATGACCTTATCAACAGACACAGAGAAAGCATCTGACAAGATACAACATCCATTTATAATTAAAACACTCAATAAAAGTGGTGTAGAAGGATAGTACCTCAACATAATGAAGGTCATATATGACAAACCCTCAGCTAATATAATTTATGGTGAAAAACTGAAAGCTTTCTCTCTAAGGTCGGGAACAAGACAAGGATGTCCACTCTCACCACTGTTATTCAATATAGTATTGGAGGTCCTAGCCAGAGCAATCAGCATGAGAAAAAAAAAAAAAAAATGCACC